TCAATCTCCTGTTCCGTCTGTCGAGAGAAGCCTGCTCAAATTTAATTTTTGCCTCCTTATAAATTACCTTAAATTTATTCAATAAGTCGTCAGTGTAATTAATAGTGTCAGAATAAGAAAATTTAACTGGTGTATTGAGTAATTGTCGTGGTAAATTAAATTCCCTACCAAAAGTTAAAAGTGCTGGTGAAAAATTAGTAGTATCATGAGTAGAAGTACGATAAGCAAGTAGAGCATAAGGTAACTTACTATCCCAATCGGTGTGTGAAGAATTAACTAAGTGTGTAAGAAAGTTAGCTATTGTTTTATGTGTTCTCTCAACTACGTTACTTTGTGGTCTGAAGGCAGTAATATTAATTTTCTTAACCCCTAAAGCCGAATAAATTTTTGCCATCCCTTGACTAATTAAGTTAGATCCCCTATCTGAAAACAATTTAGTGGGTGTACCATATCTACAAATAAATTCCATTAGAACCCGAGCTATGGTCTCACTCTCGACAGAAGGCACAGGGAAAGCCTCCAACCATTTTGTAAAATTGTCAGTAAAAGTTACTATATATCTATTGCCTGACTCTGTAATTGGCAAGGGACCAACAACATCAAAATATATATGTTCAAAAGGACCATTAGGCATTTGCACACTTTGAAATGGAACAGGGTGTTTAGGTTGGTGTGCTCTTCGACCCAAGCAACTCTCACAAGATTTAACCCAATTAGTTATATGTTTAACCATTTTAGGCCAGAAAAAGGATTTTTTAATTCTCTTAATTGATTTATGAATGCCCTGGTGGCAAACTGCTGCACTATCATGGTAAATTTCTAAAACATTATTAATTAAGGATTTTGGAATAACAAATTTACTTTCATCTTGTTCATTACTATTTTTAAATTTACACATTAGTATACCTTTATTTAAATAAAATGTATATCTTTTTGAATTAGAATTATTGGATTTCAAATCTTCTTTAATTTGCTTGCAAAAACTATCCTCATTCTGCTTTTCTAAAAGGTCTTCGAAAGAAATATCTGGTAAAATGGTAACTGTTTCTGTCATAAATAAATTAGTTTTAACTGTTTGAGCCTCTGAAATATTTCTAGATAAAAAATCAGCGATTCCATTGGCTTTTCCTGGGAGATCAAAAATTTCATAGTTAAATTGAGATAAGGATAAAGCCCATCTAGCAATCCTACAAAATGAGTCCTTTAATTTTAAAGATCCCGTGAGAGGAGCATGGTCAGTAAAAATTTTAAATTTTTTACCTAATAAATATTGTCGAAAATAATTAGTAAAATAAACTATTGAAAGAGCCTCTCTTTCTGTTACAGAATACCTGGTTTCGGGAGACGTTAATTTTCTACTGCCGAATGCAACAGGTCGAGGGAAATTATCTTCCATTTGGCATAAAACCGCACCGATGGCAACTGAGCTAGCATCAGTATACAGTACAAATTCCTTTTCCATGTCAGGGAGAAGTAAAAAAGGGTCAATTTTCAAAGACTTTTTTAAATCATCAAATTCCTTCTGAGCTTCAACTGACCAATTGAAGACAGATTTCTTTTTTGTTAAATTTGATAAGTGTAAAGAACGGTTACTAATATTAGAAATAAATTTACGATAATAATTAATTGAGCCTAAAAATTTTTGAACATCAACTCTATTTTTGGTATAGAAAAATTATTAATTATTTCAATGTTACGTTGATCAGGAAAAACTTTACCCTTATTAATGACAAATCCTAAATAATTAATAGTCTCAGTGAGAAATTTACATTTTGATGGTTTAATTTTTAAATTATGCTGTAACAACCTTTGGAACACAGTCTTTAACTTAGGAAAATGGTCATCTATTGTTTGACTTAAAATAATAATATCATCAATATAAATACCTACATTAAGTGGTTCTAACCCTGACAAAACAATGTTCATGAGTCGTTGAGAAGAATTGGCACTAGTGCGAAGCCCAAAAGGTGTTCTAGTATATTGATATAACCCCTGATGAGTAGTAATTGCTAGCTTATGGCGATCTGCAGGATCAACACACATTTGATGGAAACCACTAGTTAAATCAATGGACGAGAAGATCTTTCCACTTGACAAGTTATCAACGGCTTCAGTTATGTTTGGGGTAGGATAGGCATCAGGTATAACCTTAGTATTTAATGCTCGAAAATCTGTTACAAATCTATACTCACCATTACTTTTTTTAACTAGCATAACTGGAGAGCTATATGGAGAAGTTGAGGGCTCTAAAATTCCAGCTTCTAACAAAATATTTAGTTGCTCATTCATTTCTTGCCTTAAATGGTAAGGTACCTTATAAGGTCTCTTACGAACAGGGATATCATCCCTGAGAGGAATTTTATGCATTAAAGTAGTACAGCCGGACAAATCTTTAACAGATTTTGCAAAAACAGCCTTATTCTCTTCTAAAAATTTTAAAAGTTTATCTTTAGTTGGTTCCTCTAAATGATCAATTTTGAAATCCTGTTTAAATTCTAATTCCACCTCCTCTAAATCACCTATTTCCTCTTCATTAACATTAAAAAGTTCCTTATTACAATCATTTGAAGAAATAGTACTGGTAAAATTAACTAAATTACAATTTTTATTTACATTTACATCAAAATTATTTGTATTCATTAACAAAACAGGAATCTTATTTTTATCTTTTAAATTTACAACTGAACGAGCAATAAAAAAATTAAATTCTCTTGTAACAGGTTCGGCTAAGAACAAACCGGGTTGGAAATTTCCTCTAATATTTACAAAAACAAGTTTTTGTGACAAAGGTGGTAACTGAGTCTTTTTATTCAAATATCCTTTAACTTCAGCCATATCTGATGCTTTTTGTTTACATTCTTT